GCTGAGTGGGTTGTTAAGGGCCATCAAGAAGTGAATGAAAAGAATTATTCCTTTGTTCCCTTTATGGAGATGCTGATAAATGAAGTGAGTTCAACTCAATGAACAACAAAGCCTAAGGGTAACAGTTTTACTTTATGATTTGCTTCTTGAAAGTCACTGCTGAGCTGATGTGGATGGTGGGGACAATTCTTTGACCTTGAGATTCTTAATATCGTTTTCAGACTTGGCAAAGAATTAGTAAGGTCTTAGGAATATCCTACCAAAGGAACAGACGACTCTGTTCAGAAGTTAACTAGAGTGATTTCTGTAATATTATTTTAAAATCTGTGTGAAAATATGTTCTTTGGTGTCAGACAGAACAGGAGTGATTGTCCTTTCTATCACTCTGTGACTTTGGGAAAAATTATATGATCTCCTTAAACATTAAAGAAAATGGGGATAAGAATAGATTTTTGTGAAAATTTAATAAAATTATATGTGGTAAATCAATGCTTGAGATTTAATAGGTATATAATAAAAGTTAACTCCCTTCCAAATTTGAATCCTTTACAAAAATATTCATTGAGAATATATTACACAGAAGATTTCAGAGAAGTAAATTGATCCAGGGATAACAGGAGGAAATTTCTTAAGAAACAAAATACAAAATTTTGTTGAGGTCATTCAATTTTCTTATTTTGCGACTCTATCTGGAACCATTTTCTTGATTTTACATGAAATCTTCAAGAATTTCTAATCAGTGAGTTTTCTCCTAACTTCCGTTTACCTTTTAGTTGGATAACACAGACAGGCATTTAGAATAACTAAATGTGATTATTGACAATTAGAGAAAAATCCTTTACAGGGTATACTGCAGAGTGCCTCAACTTACTGTGAATGCATGGTAAATAACTCCTAATATGAGTCAACAAATAAAATTCATGCATAATCAATTTATAAAAATGTTTAAGAGGTTCCATAAACATGTTTTCATAAATGCATGCTGCCTGCCAACTTGCTGGATTTCAAGAGTTGCTATAACAACCAGCAGTCCCCTCAGCAGCCTCGGCACTCTGTATTCTTGGATCTTTCACTGGGAAATATTATTATCTTGTCTGAGCCTGTTATCTCAATTGTTTAATCATGGTACTAATAAAACCAAGGTAGAGGATTGAGAAGTATGCATTAGCAACAAACTTCTCTCCATGGTCTCTCTTCCAAGGCCACTTATCCATTTATTCAATTCATTCATTCAAAAGTATTTATAGAATGTCATTTACCAGGTACAGTTCTATATGCTAGAGATAAAGCAGTAAAACAATTAAACAAAAACCAAAAACCAAATCAAAACAAAACAAAAACTCAAACCAACAAACAATAACCCTCCCCCCCAAAATAATTGAAAATGCCTGCTTTAATGATGCCTGTAGTCTGGTGTGAGGGGTGGGGAGGAAGACAGACACTAATTAAGGAACAAATATCTACATAAATACAGTAGGGTTTTAGGCACAATGGTTACAAAGAAAGAAAGGAAAGAGGGAGGTGCTATATTTAAGTGAAGAGAAAATGTCTCTTGATGTGGTGATGTTTGAACGGAAATTTGGACAAATCAAGTAGATAACTCTGCAAAAGAACATTTCAATCAGTACAGCAGGTGCACAGGCCCTGAATTGGGAGAATTCTTGGCTGGATTCAGAAGTGAGAAGGCTTATATGATTGGAGTGGAGCACTCAGGGGAAGAATGGTAGGTGATGAAATTAGAAAGGAAGAAGAACTTGTTTATGTAGGGTCTTGGATGCCAATTATAAGAATTTTAAATTAAAATTGTGAGTGAGATGGGAAAACAATTTGGGGGATCTGAGCAGAGGAGTAATACAATCTGACCTATGTTTTAGAAAAGATCACTTTGAATTTAGAGACTATAGGGGATCAGAAGGAAGGGGGACCAGTCAGGAGGCATTGCAATAATACAGGGGGACAGGTGATGGTGGCTTGAAGCAGGTGGTAAGTGTTGAAAAATCTTCAGACTCTGGATGTTTTTGAACATAGAGTCAATGGGATTTGCTGATGAATAAATGTGAAATATGAGAGTGTGAATTCAAAGATGACTCTGAAGGTTTTTCTTGAAAAACATTCTCTGAAAAACAAAGATAGCCTTTTATCCTGAGGAAAGATTGAAAAGTAAAAGTGTGTGTGTGTGTGTGTGTGTGTGTGTGTGTGTGTGTAATGTAGAATTAGAATGGAGTTCTTGACATATTAATTCTAAGTGGATATGTCAAGAAGGCAATTGGATATAAATAGTAAAGTATTTTCATAGATTTCAGAGTTAAGGGGAGAGGTCTGGGCTACAGGTATGAGTGGGAGAGTTATGAGTGTGTAGATGAATGTAGGGCCATGGGGCTGAATGAGGTCACTAGGAAGTGAATATGAATACAGAAAGGAAGACAAAGGATTGAACCATAGGGGAATCCAGTGTTTGAGTTGGAAAAGGCAGTAGAGGAGAACCCAAGAAAGAATGAGGGGGAATAGCCAGCAAGGTGGAAGAGCAATAGATAATGGAGTATTAGAAGAAAATGAATCCAAGATGGTAGAACTGATTGGCTGAATCAAATACTGTTGATAGGTCACATAAAATGGAAACTGAAAATTGACAATTGTATTTGGTAGCAAGGAAATAACTGGGACTGTTTTGATAGGGCAGTTTGGGTAGAGCAATAAGGACAGAGCATCTGTTAGAGAAGATGTTACTGACAGACTTTTGGAGGGGTTTTGTTATAAGAAGAGCTAAATAAAATGGGGCACTAATTGGAGCAATGTAGGGTAAAGAGAGTTTTTAAATTCAAGTTAGAATTTATTGTGACAAGTGCGCATAATTATGGGGATAATCAACAGGGGGAAATTGATGATGCAGGATAAAGAGAGTATGAGGCAAGAAGTTTAAATATGAGAGATTTCATTCATTCATTCCCAAAGTTAAACAAGCATCTAACAGGTACAATATATACAGCTGAAGACTAAGAACAGGGAAATGAATAAAACATGGTTCCTGTCATCAAAAAGGTCATTTTCTTAAGGGCAAGAAATAAGCATTTTCTTAAACTAATAATTCATATTCAATGTATGTAACAATAATGTCAGAGAAATGCACCCAGGACTTTTTTCTTTATGGTACACAAATTCTTGTGCTACTATGTCACTATAAGCCAAGAGATTAGAGATTTTCATTCCCATAATGTATTGATATGTTCCATGTTATACTGTTGATTGAATTCAGGCAAGAGTTCTGAGCATGAATTGGGACTGTGGCCACATAGATAAAGTCAAGGTGAGAGATTTGAGAAATTTGGGGGAGGTAAAAATCAATAATACTGGTGACTGGGTGACTAAAATAAGATAAAAAAGAGAGAAGGTCAATGAAAATCACAGGTTTCTCAAATCCAGTATCCTGGAGGTGGGCATGCTAAGAAACAAATTCTAGCAGGTAGCAGAGATGGATGAGAAGAATAATTCAAGACCTTTTCTTTTCTTTATTTCTCCCCCAACCCCTGCTTCTCTTTATGGTGGTGCTGGGAATTGAATTCAGGATCTTGTTCATGTTAGACAAGCACACTACCACTAAGCTATACTCCTAGCCCTAGAACTTTTTTTTTTTTTTAAATTAAGGTGTTATAGATACCTGGAACTTTGAAAAGTATTTAAAGAATTCAGATATTTCTGTCTATAAAGAAAAATTAAATATACTCTCTACATGATATCATAAACACCAAAGAAAAAATAGATAAGAGAGACCAATGATAAATTCTAGAGCACTTCCTGACATTATACAAGAAACTGAAAAACAAACACAACAACAATAACAAAATCCCCACAGAGCTCCTGGTATTGATGCCTTTATTTTTTCATAAAATACTTTGAGAAATTAAATAAAAATTAATTAGAATGTATGGTTTTAGTTCACAGTGATCCCAGACTTTATGGGACTTATGAATAATCTTGGGGTTTTGGGAGGAGAATGTGGCTGAGCTGGGTTTTTACTGTCAGGCTAACTCCTCTAAGCAGGAAGCCACACAGTGTCATGTGGCACTTTCTGAATTTTCCCACTCAAGTGCTGCTATTGCCAGAGGGATAAGAATGAACACCCTGGATGGCAGATGAGGGTGTCTGAGGTGTAACCTGAAGCATTAAGTTGCAAACATGAAATTCCTTTGATTTGGTATTTTAATTAAACATTTAAGCAAAATTTGGACACAGTTTTCTAAAATATCTGTGTGTTGTTTTTTTTTTTCATACAAAAACAATGGAATCTCTTCCCTCTCCTCCCTTACCTGTTCCAATTCACTGAATTTAAAAGTGATGTATTGGAAAGGCATGTCGTGCTTTATCTAATGACTTTTGTGGCATCATTGCATGCTGCCATATACCCCTGGATATGTTGAGGAGACCAGGAGAAGGGGTAAGAATACAAAACAAAGTTTCAGAATCCTGGACTCTTCTATCCCAGCTCTACATTTATTTTTTAAATTTTATACACACTACTTACTTCTAAGAGGAGTTTGGAATAGCTGTGAGACTTTTAGAAAATCACAAATGCTCTGTACATTTATTTTCTCATTTATTAAAGCAAAAAGATTGTTCTACATGGCTTCCAAATTCCCTTCTAACTGACTGAGATTCTATCCTTTCTTGTCCAACCAAAATATTAACAGGGTTACCAGTGGATTGTGGCATTGAATGTATATTAGTAGACCCAATTAACATCTTGGAAAAAAACAGAGTATTCAGTTAGGGCTTGAGTCATGATGGACATTTTGAGTTTAAAAAAAGCTAATCTTAGGAGACGATTAGAGCATAAAATCCATATATTTGATATGTTCTGTAAGAAGAGGTTATTTCTTGAGAAGTGGAATTGCAACTTTCTGCTGAAAGACATCAGTCCTCTAAGGCACCCAGGCAAGTCCACAGGCAAACTCCCACCTCAGGACACTGAATAACTTGCCTGTAAAATAGCAGGTTGAGGAGTCAAGATGGAGGAGTATGCGAGAGAGCCTTGCCCCTGGCGAATTGTGGATGACTGTGGTGGGGCCTTTACGATGGGTACCATAGGTGGTGGTATCTTTCAAGCAATCAAAGGTTTTCGAAATTCTCCAGTGGGAGTAAACCACAGACTACGAGGGAGTTTGACAGCTATTAGAACCAGGGCTCCACAATTGGGAGGTAGTTTTGCGGTTTGGGGAGGCCTGTTCTCTATGATTGACTGTAGTATGGTTCAAGTCAGAGGAAAAGAAGATCCCTGGAACTCCATCACTAGTGGTGCCTTAACAGGAGCTATACTGGCAGCAAGAAATGGTCCAGTGGCCATGGTTGGGTCAGCTGCAATGGGTGGCATTCTCCTAGCTTTAATTGAAGGAGCTGGTATCTTGTTGACAAGATTTGCCTCTACACAGTTTCCCAATGGTCCTCAGTTTGCTGAAGACCCCTCCCAGTTGCCTTCCACCCAGTTACCATCCTCACCTTTTGGAGACTATCGACAATATCAGTAGAACTTTTTTCCCAGGATTTCTTTAACAGAATGAGCTGTAGTTCAAGAAAGATTTCAGAAGATCAAGTTGCAGTCTGTTTTTAAAACCATCGGTGGAACAACTGTGGCCAAATAGGCTATGAAGAGACATTTAGCACTTTTTTCTATTTAAAGGAACATGGAGGGGGGGAATAAAAGATGCCACATTTATGTATTCACACTCGGATTGCATTTGTGATCAAAATAAATATCTAATGTCCTTAAAAGAAAATATAATAAGTGCTTAGAAGATGAAGGACCAAAGGGCAAATAACAGTGGAACATGACCATCATTTCCTTAGGGACTTCTCTGCCTGGTTTTATGTGTTCTATTATTCAAACAATAAAAAGCTCCTGGAACTTACTCTTTCTTTTAAGATAAATTATAAAGTTCTGCCTTTTCATACTGAGCATATTTCAAATAATGCATGTTTTATACTCGTCCCTCATCTCACTTGAAGTGAATTATGTATAAGAAGAATTATGCAGAGTCGACATGAATCATTTCACAGTGAAATGCTTTATGGATTGAAGGATATGGTAACTATCTTTTACTTTGAAAGTAAACTATGCTGTCTTGGTTTTGAGGATGGTGGGTACAAGACTGTTAACTTTAGGGCTACTACGTCCTGATTCCTGATCATCAGAAACCTCACCAGAAACAACTTGCTTTCAATATGCCCAATTCTGTATGAGAAGAATTCATGCAGAGAAATTTTTGGTGTTGTGTGCTTGAAAATAAAATATATGCTGTTTTTTTAAAAAAAAAAAATAGCAGGTTGATATATTGGGTTGCTGAACATGGTGGGGAAAGACTCAAGTAGGAGGGCGCTTGTTCTGGGGACACTCATTGAGATGGCAAACACAATCTGACTCTTAGGGGAATCTCTACTTTATACCATCCCATTCATCCCATCTCATTCAGATACTTTTCCCAATCTCCAGATTTTTTTTAAAAAGTGTGACACCAATAATGTTGATGCTTCCAGATTCTAAAATGATGAAGATGATCTAAAAGGACTATTACTATTTCTCAGCATTCACAAAGAAGAAAACAGTTATGAGTTTCTGGAGGAAGGGACCTTAGAATCAGAAAAAACAAACAGTATATGATGCTTTATTCAGTGGAAACATAAAAATATGGTATTCTCTTTAAATACTAAATATCACTCAGAAAGGGTTGTTTTCCAATGGAGAATCATTTTCCTCTGTGAAGGAAATCATTAACAATTCCAGATCAAAAAAGAGTGCCTTAGACACCTGGCTGCACGAAGAGCCATGAGGTCTTGGAAACAGTAGTTTTGCCTTCTTTGTGTCCTGAAACCTTGAAGACCTGATAATTCCTTGTTTGGGTGCCTTCTTGGTCTCCTAGTCTTTGCTGTGCTTCTATCAGCAGATGGTTGGTAACGACTTTATTTTTGGACCATGAATCCTATTTCCCTCTACAGATCATACTTCCTTTTATAAAATGGAACTCTTCATTGCTAAGATAAGGATGAACACAATTTACTTGAAAAGACACTTACAAAATGTATCATAATAGATACCACTTGTGAACTACATGTTGAAAACTAAAAACTAATATTACCTATGTAGAAATTCTAATTTCTTTAACCAGTTGATTGAATGACCTTGGGCGTGTCACTTAACCTCTTTGAATTGATTTTTCATGCATAAAATGTGCATCATACTTTCTTGACTCATAGGACTAATTATTTTAAAATCACATAGTAGCTACATACTGGATGGATTCTGAAAATGACTTGTTCAAACTCTAACAATCCATAAATAGCACTGTGACATGCCATATGAAGAGACAGCATCATTAGTGTCCTATCTCGGCTGCATAGTTGGTGAAATTTGGACAGAGACCATGAATGGGTTTTCTAAGACTCTGAGTCAGACTATCAGGCAATAGGAAAGGAAGCCTTTATCTAAGAGCTCATTATTTCCTGTTGGAATTTTGTTGTGCACACTTAGAACGAGGTGGGGCCCTTAGCCACACTGACAGCTAATTTGAACCTGTTCGAATGACTCCAGGGATTCCAGTCGATAAACAGGAACTAGCCTGCTCATCTGTACATTCCTCTCAAATTGGTTGAAATAAATCCTCAACACTTGATGTTCTGACCTGGTTTCTCAGCCACTCAGCACCAGCCTGTGGTCTGGCATTATGAGAAATTTTCCAGTCTGTTGGGTGGAAGTAATTCAATCCTGCCACTGTGGTAGAAAGGAGAGAGAACACGCATATAGAGACAGGATCTGAGAAAACAAGAAAAGTTCCAAGGCCTGGGAGAAGTGGAATTATGCAGTAGCAAGTCCGGAGAGCTGGAATGGGAAGTTACCAAGACAGTGACACAATAAATAAACTATCCCAAAAATGGAGCCACTCTTCAACTGGGAGCTTGGAGGCTGGTTAAACAGGACACAGATGACTCTATGTCTGACTCTTCTGGGCATGGTCAGCTACTGCAGCAGGATGGGACAGATGGGGCCACTTCAGGGCCAGGAAAGGAGGGATGGAATAAGAGCTGAGGAACTGATTGAGTTGCAGTAGTGGAGAAAGGGGTCTGGTCTGAGGGTAAATCCTAGTGTCCAAATAGTAGGGTAGAGCAGTAGCAGAGCGCAGCCGAAGCAGACTGTTCCAGTAGGTGGCCCAGGATAAAGAAGCGTTGTGTCTGTGTGTAGATGTCCTTCCCCTCCCACGAGGCAGGGGGAGTGTCTGGATCAGGCAATGCTCACGGCTCCAGACAGAAGGCCATAAGTTTGTTGATGGGTTGTAGGCCTCAGTTATTTATCCCAAAGCAAATCATTGGCTGAAACCTTTGAGAAAAAGAAATGTGTTATGCAGCATGGAGGGTGGGACAAGACTGAGGATCAGGCAGAGACAGGCCTGCCATTGTTATCAGAACTGGGGCAGTGCAATAGGCTAAATTAGAAGCAGGAATGATTTGATCAGCAGCCACAGAGGCCAGCTAGATGACCCAAAGAGTGGCCAAGGGTAGGTATATAGTAGAGAGAGCGGGAGGCATGCTCAAATTTAGACCCCAAATAGGGAGCAGAGATATTGGAAAGGAGCTTCCCACCATCTCCCACCTTGCTATCAATCTGCACAAAGACGGAAGATCAGTTTAAAACATTTAAGTGATTGTCCCTAACTCTTGTATAGAAGTGAATAAGGTAACACTCCTGGTTAAATAGGGGAAATGCTATCTAACTGGCACTGATCTTCCTACTGAAGACTCATCATTCATCTCCTCGGCATTGAGAAGCTGTTCAGAATACACTGGGATTTTAAGTAATGACTACATAAAAAATGAAAAGTGTGAAAACCTCAAAACTTATCATTGTTCATGAACAGAATGACTGCTCATCCAGTATTTATTCCTATGTTTATTATTTGAGTAAACCAAAAGTAATGGATTGGTTCCTTCTTTAATTTGAAATTTTATTTATATTAATTTTGGAGGGACACCATCATCCTTTTTTAATCTTCTGGAAAGTTACATCAATTTCAGCAATTCTTTGTCTAGTTCCACCCATGCTTCTTTATGATCTCTGCCATTTGCCACAGTATGATGTGCTTAAACGACACGTCAAGGCACACTGGGGACTGCCAATTGCTTAATAACTTTAAAAATAATCTTAGCAATTCGTTTCTTTTATCTCAACATATAATTTTGCTTTGTGAAACATGAAAGATAAGTCTTATATTTAGGAACCATTTGGTAGGGAGGCTGGTAGAGTAAAATTTAATTGATTTTTTTTCCCTTTGCAGCTCTTGAAGAAATAGCATGTGAATCCAGATTAGGTGGCATCATGTATATTTTTGAAAAAGGAATTTTTACTTGCTTAAGCTGAATTCATCCTTATAAGTCAGCCAGCCCTTGATTCCTCCCTATCTCTTACTCTGAAAGGCAGTTATCACCAGGTCTTATCTATTTTTCTGTTACAGAATCTCTCATTCTTCTGTCCATCCCTACAGCCAGCAACTTTCTCACATTACCTAATAGGCTCTCCTTACTCATCCCCAACAGCACCACCAAAGTCAGAGTATTAATGTGCAAATCTTATGACACTTTGCTTTCCCAGCATTTTGTACAGAATTAAGTTCAAACCTCATAGGATGTCATTTGAGGTGTGGGTCCTAATTTTTTCCTAACCTCATGTCTTACCTCTCTCTCTCCCATTCTCGACTCCCAAACACTATGCCTATAGCAGCATTCTTGTTTTCTGAACATTTATGCCTCTTGGATCATGTGGTTTTCCCTGCTACAAAATTTTCTGGGTTTCTGTGTCTGTGGACCCTTTCAACCACTTCTGCCATGCTTTCCCTGTCTTCCACAGTCAGAGACCTTCATGATGCTCTAGGCATTTGTAGTACATCTGTGCTGAAAACTTCTATATATAAGTGCTTGGAATGATTTGTTTGTGAGCCTATCCCTTCTACTCAGCTTAGAGCTGTGGAAGTAAACCAGTGGCCATTCATTGCTCACTTCTCTTTGCTTCCCCATCTTCTCTCTCAGCCTCCATGGTCCAGTACAACCCCTTAGCCACTGTAAATACTCAATGAACACTTGCTAGTTTAAGGAGTGAATGGTTGTATTGTATGAGATTTCTTGAGTCCCATAAGGTTTGCTTTTTTAACTTCTTGCTTATTAAGGTAAATTTTCACTTCCAGTTGTAACTTCCTGACATTTTTATTCTAGTTTTCAGCCATCTCTACCCTTTGGCCATAAACTGATTGCACAATATATCTGAAAGCCTTACTTCTCAGGTTATGAAAAGTCTGAGGGTCTCAGGCCTTTTGTCAAGCACAAATAAGTTTCCAGAAGGTGTGGATTAAATGATCTGCTAGTGAAAATGTTCTGTGCTTCTCTGTCCTCCTTTATCTCAGTTGTTTTTACATAGCAACCATTCCTATAAAGCGTCCCTCCTAATTTTTAGCTTAAACTTTTCATTAGATACAGGCCATTTCTCCCTGTCTCCTCATCTTCTGAGACTGTAAATTATCCTGTTACTTCATTTGTAATGGGAACATATTTATTTTCTGTGATGATGGCTCCCCTGAGTCTTCCTTTTTCTTAGCTACATAAAGTTAACTTCCTCAGTGGCAAATTAAGGACAGATTACAAGCAGCCTGGGAACCAGGCTCCGTCACCACAGGGGCCGCCTACTCAGCCTCCTTCTGTTCAGCCATCCGAGAGGTGCAGCTGCTAAAGCAGCCCAGCGTCAGGCTGCTCTCCCCCTGCCTCTACCGATCTCATGGAGAAAGTTGAGAAGTCCCTTTCTCTACCAGTCCTGGCTGGTGTCTGATCCTGAGTTTTCTAGTCTCTCCTCTTCTCCTCCTCCCCCTACCCCAGC